TTACTGTTACCTTACAAATTCTCTATTCGAGTAACAGCTTACATTTTTGTAAAGACCAGCGTGACCACTGCTTGGGTATTTACCCAAGATTTTGGGTATTTTGACTTGGTCTTGGGTTCTTGGGTATTCCGTTCAAATCCTTGTAGTACGGCAGCTTAGGGCCATATTTGGACTTAATGTGGACGTTCCGGACAAAAGCACCGATTTTTTTTTACATGCTCCTTATGGTCATAGCATTCAATTTTTGGTAGGAAGCACATCATCCGAGGTCATTATGGCGGCTATCTTGGATTTCAAAATGGCCGCCTAATAAAACCTATGGTTTATCTATATCTCCGCTTCTAAACCACTTGGAATTATAATTCTAATGTCTAAGCGTATGCTTATATGATCGAGGAATACCATCATATCATTTTTGACCTGGTCAGATTGCCACAAATGGGTCATGTAAGGTTATTCAAGGTCATTCAAGGTCAAATATTGTATGGTATCTTTATAATTACGTAATTTTCAAATTTTACATTAGAATCATACCCAGCTCTCAGAATTCAAACTTTTTACTATGAACTACAATATTTCATTCGAGGTCATTCTGGCAGCCATCTTAAATTTCAAAATGGCTGCCACGCAAAACCTATATTTATCAATATATCGGCTTTTAACAACTTCCAATTAGAATTATGATGTCTAAAAATATATTTTCATGGTCAAGGATTTATAGCACTTGTGACATGGTCAGATAGTCATTTAAAGTCATTCAATTTCATTTTTCTGTTAAATACGTAGAAAATCTTAATAGTTTGTAAGTGGTCGTGTTTTACAGCAAAATCATACATAAGCTCACAAAATTCAATTTTTCATAGGAACTATTTCATCAGAGGTCGTTATGACAGCCATTTTAGGTCAAGGTCATTTACCAGCCATATTAAATTCCAAGGTGACCACCATGTAAAACATGTTTTGTTCCTTTAAATATGTTTACTGTACTGCATAGTCAAAGAATAACATCAAAAGTAGTGACATGTATTTGTATTTATT